TCATCTCACACTTCAGTAGCAAATTAATTATGTCAGGATTCAATCTGCGATTCAGGCAGGTGTGATGTGCTAGGTATCCAGATTATCATCAAAGAGATGGTGATCTAGTCAACAAAGTCAGTGGAGACTAGAGGGCGACTCAGCTGCAACTGCTTGTGGATCCATTAATTGCCCCCACACAAATATTTGGTGGTACCAGAAGTAGGAAGAGCTTCTCTTCTGGTTGTGTCTCCAAAAGGATGTGGATGTCTCATGGGTCCTCTGTCTGCCAGAAGCATGTGGATGTCTCAGGCACCCTAAGGCATCTCAAATAGCGCTACACACCTACATTTAGGCAAGTGAATGGATCCCAATATAGTCTGTTTACTACTGTGAGACACATACATTTAGATATCTTAATCTTGAATTAAATCCCAGAGTTTTGCTGTCAGGAAAAAGACAAATTCTAATTCCAGTTCTGACCTTAACGTTTACATTAAAGGATAATAATGCCAATGTACTGCTTAAATCTCAGAAGACACCAGTAAAACGGTAGTACACTTTATTAACTACGTTTTTGAAAATATTGTAAAGGAACTATTTTGTATTCTATTTTTTTCCACAGTCTACCCAAAGCAAAAAATTACATTGATTAATAATATGTTTGTGCTGCTGGCACCTTTCATAATCTGTACAGACCTTTCATTTTTCTGGGACAGAAGTGGGTCATATGGGTTTCACTTTTAAATCTTGATGGCTTATTTAGCTCCTTCAGGATTATACTTCTAATAACTCCATTATTTTTTTTTAATTTTGGTTTTGAAGATTTTGTGGGACCAATCAACGCTTTCTCTGAGCTGCCACTCTCCAGGAAAATGATATGGAATGCCATCATTTTCCACAGTTGCTATCAATAATATACCAGGTTACTTTTTACTCTCATAGTGTCTTCCATGAGGGCACCTTTTTAATTTATTAATGAATAAACTTTTGCAACTAATGTTTATTTTAAAATGTGAAATAAATAAAGAAGTCAAATCTTGATGATTACCCAGATTCAGGAAAAGATCCTTGTACAGAGTGCTGTCTACGTAGAGAAACATACAGCTTCTGAATTCCGTCAAAACAAGACTGTTTTCTTAATTGTTGAAATAAGATGCCATCCAGTTTCCATTCAGCCTAGTGGATGGCTAAGAGCTTTAGAAGGTTAACATTTCCTCTGAATTTATTTTCAGATTACTAAATATTATCTGATCATTTTAACAATTTCCTCTCAGTCAGTCTTTGTTCATGTTTCAAGGAGTAGTACTTACAGCAGCAAGTAGAAGAGCAGTTAAAATTCAAGCTGAACTGAATATTATTCACTTACATATTTCTTTATAAGTCTGAAAATTCACCCTTAGATGCCTGGCTTGGCAACAGAAAGGATATTTAGAGATTTATTTTCTCTGAGGAATCCAAACTTAAATTAAGCTTAAAGCAGAAGCCGTGCTTGGATGCCATAACGTTTGCCAGGTGCAACTAAGGGATACAATGCAGAATGAATTTACTCCATCAGTAAGGCTGAACTCATGAAAAATACTGAAGTATAACTTTATAGGCAGAAAAAGGGAAGAAGAAAAATTGCAAAGATCCAATGCAACACTTATGCTGAGAAATCTATTTTAGAAAATATGCCCTCCTTTCCTAAAGATACTACTGCAGAAACACTTTCCATTTAGGATTTTTTTAAAGAATTGCTTCCTCTTTAGAAGGTATATTACTATGAATAAGCCAAGAAATCCCCAGAAATGCTCTTGATGGAGCTGGCATTCATTCCCAGAGGCAAAATGTCAAATCAAACTGGCATGCGCCTACAAATACTGCATCATTGAACAATATATATAGAGCATGGTTCACAAAACAACAGCTGTTTCCATTACAGCTGAGTGCTTTTTCAGACTGAGAGAAGTGCTTTAGCCTGGGAGAAATGAGAATTGGTGAATCTCAGCCAGTCTTTGGAACAAGCCTGAACAAGCCATGCCAAGTTTTAGGAAAGCCTCGGTAAACAGGGGTAGGACCTCTTGCCACAGTTGCTGCCAGTGAAGGTCAGCATCTATGGAGATGACACTCCATTCCACCTTTCCTGCTAATTTCTGCTCCTGATTCATGCACTAACCCCAAGATTGGTTTTGATCAGTAAACAGTAAATCAACCTTGTTATCTGTTCTTTACACTGCAGCTGTAAAAAAAAATAATTGGCAAAATCACTTGCTCCATCATGATTTATTAGTATACTTAGTTACTTAACTGTTACACAAAATCTATACATAGAATAAAAAATTTAATAATTCATAGAACTGTAGACTAACTGAGGCTGGAAGTTGTTTGGTCCAACTCTCTGCACCCCAAATTGGCAAGGCCATCTTAGATCAAGTTGCTCAGATCATTGAATACTTCAGATTAGAAGGGATCTCTGAAGGTCATCTACTTAGTCCCCTAGCTTGAAGCAGAGCCATCTTCATAGTTAAGGTTCATTGGGGTTCTCAGGCTGAGTTTTGGATATCTCTGAGGACAGATATTCCACAACCTCTCACTTCAGTAGTGCCTAACCACTTTTATTGTAAAATACTTTTTTTTCCTTATGTCCAATTGCAAGTTCATTTGCTGAAAATGGTGACTGTCATCTTCTGAGCACTGGCTGTGCATGTATCATGCTCTGTCTTCTCTATACCCTTCCCCCCTTTGTAAAGCAGAAGACAACAAATAGATCTCCCCTGAGCTGCCTCTCCCGAGGGCTGAACAAAGCCAGCTCCCTCGGCCTCTCCATGTACACCATGTGCTCCAGATCCCAAACATCTCAGTGGACTCCTGCTGGTCTTGTTCTAACCTGTTAAGGTCTTTCCTGTGTGGGGAAGCCCAAAACTGGGCACTGTGCTCTGGACGCAGAATAGCAGGTTCTGAATAAAGGGGATTAGTCACTTTTCTTGACCTGCTGGCTGCATTCTTGTATACTTTAATTTAATGTATTTTAATTTAGAGTATTTGGATGAATGCCCATGGGCATGGATTACTAAGTAGCTCTTCTTTCTAACCTGTAAGACAGAATGCATATGCCAAGTACCTCTGTGTCTTACTGTGATGGAAAAAAAACCTAGGAAATTAAATTCATGGATATTTTACAGTCAAGGATAAAAAAATGACCCTTTTCCATTTCTGTTTCTAGGTTTTCTTCCATTTAGAAGCATTTCTGAGAATCAGTAAATTCCTATCATTGTACGAAACTAGAAGTTGACTTTTTTGTTTAGAAAATAACAAATGTTAGAAAAATATTTAATTGCAGAAATGTGAGTCTGCAGGAACTAGTCATCATCCTGCTCAAACAAGTGGGGGAGATAATGTGTAGTACTGAAGGCAGGAATACATGAATATAAATTCAAGGCCCTTTTACTCTGTCTTAAAGATTGATGTAAATATTGGACTTTCACACTGCAGTTGATGTAATGGTAAATAAATAAATAGTAAAATGGTCACAAGGAAAGAAGTAAATCTGAATCAGATATGAAATCAGATAGCTTTTTTTTTTTTTTTTTAGAATTTATGGTCATGACAGGCTGTATCTGAAATATATTTGACAAAGGAATGGCAAAGATTATTAATGATCCCTGAACTTTTACGTGGTAATTCAAAGAAAAAGCATAATGAGGTCTTTTTAAAAAACTACAATTACATTTAATGGTCATTATGACCAACATTGTTTTTATTATTCCTTGCATTTAATGAAAAGTAGCTATAATTTGTTCTTTCAACTGTAATCCAGACTTCACCTCTCTGCTAGTCACCAACTTTCTTGCTTTTTTTCCCTTTGGTTGGAAGTGCAGGTATTCCACGTACATTAAGGCTCACTGTTAACCAAGGAGAGCTGATTTCACTGTGGCTGTTCAAATTGTTTTATAAAGATGAAACAAAATTCCTAATTTCCCCATTCACAGTGTGGAATTTCTCATATTTTTGCTGCTTGCTTTTCAAAGTGAATGGAGCACTGCAAATACAGCTCAAACTCATGGTGTTGGTGGGATATAGACTGATAAACACCCTGTCAATGGCACTCTGTACATTCTAGGATTAACTTTATACTGTGGTAAAACCTGTAAAATCCACATCTTTGGTTTTTTGTTTATTTGTGTCCTCTTGTAGGCACCTGAGTGTCATGACCTGTGAATAGTAACGAGACAAGCATTCATTGTATAAATGCAAAACAAGACAGTTCTTTAAGCAATCAGTAGACATACCATATATACCTAGCTACCTAAGGTATGCAGTGCAGCTTTTGCTCATTGAACTACATCCAGATGATGGCCTTAGAACTTCTTCTGCCCAGTGAGGCTTAACAACTCAGAGCACTGTGCAGTTCATCTACAACTACACAATTATGAAAGTCTTATCACCTGGCAGGTGGGGACAATCTTTTGTGTGGTTTCATGGAAATTGCCACAACATTTAGCATGTCCTCAAAGATGTCAAAGAAACATCAAGTAAGTTTACAAGTCATCCTCCCCAGTAAAACAGATTAGGTTGTCAGCAGTTTAATTTGAACTGAGAAAAGCTGGGAACATTTTCGGTCCTAACTCACCAGCTATTTTTGTAAAGGTGTTGGATGAGATCTTTAATGAAAGTGTTCCTAGGGGTCTTCAGCTGAATTGAAGAAATGTGTTCACATTAATTTCGATACTCCTACACAGTTCAGTTCAGTTCAGCTGGTAAGCTCTCCAGAGGAGAGATTTTGTCAATGGAAACAGGTTTTTGCAATGACAAACTAAAACTACGCTTGCATTAAGTTTTTGTAGTCCCTAATGGCAATGTGGCTGGTGGCTAGCAGGATACTTATCTTCATTTTTATCATCAGCAGAGTTTGTTATTTAAACATGAAGATGTCTTCTGATACTGGTATTAGGACAACTAAGACAAGCTTTTCTTTTCTAGTTGCTACAACATGTGATCATGTGCATCAAAGGTCTCACTAGTACCATCTCTTGTAACAGGTGGGGAGCATTAGCTGACAAAAATGGACAAAAACAGAAGTTCTGGGTAAGTGAATCCTAAGCACTGTTTTGAGGCAGAAGAAAAAAATCTCTACAACACAGATTATCTAAAACCAACTTCCTTCCTTTTGTTCACTCTCTCTGCATCTATTTTTTTCCTTCACCTTTAAGTCTCTTGCATAGTTCTATTCCCTTTCTGGCAACTTTTATCATACTTACCCTTGAACTATAGCATCATCTCCCTCAATTTCAAAGCTTATTTCATCCAATCTCCCACCTATACCTGTGTTTTTTCCTACACTGTCTTTTCTGTCTTAAATCTTATTCAAATTCTCAAATGTCATTCACATTTCCCATGATGACTCAGTTCTTTTTGATGCCTGCAAATGAGACTTGATAAAAGTAATCAATATTATTTGTTAAAACATTTGGAAAAGACAAGCTATCTATTTAAACAGCATCGGCAAATGCTATCCAGCTATCAGAAAAAAAAATTAAAAATTAAACATTGGCTTTCAGCCATTTAAAGTAAGTCAGATTTTATCACTTTGATTATGATTAACAGCTCATCTCATTATTCCTGTGTTCAGCAGAAGGTAATTTGAAGTTTACATAGCTGATGGCAGGGCTTATGGTAGGTAGTTTCACTGACATCTAGGGCAGAACTTCTACTGGCTTTATTAGAGACTAAATTGCTCAATATGTCAATAGATACCTGAATGAAACCTAATTTATTAAATGTCAGCTTTTTTTGTATCTTGGGTCTCTTTTTAACAGATTAGTTGTAATTGGAATTTTTACCATTATTGTTTCAATGACCACTTTCTCTAGCCAATAGTTGAAATATGTAAATATTTCTGCTTCGATTTATCAAACTGCTTTGTGGAAACAGTATTCTACTTTTATTAACCCTGGTTTTGGAACTGAAATTTTGATCAAAACAAAAAGGAACAAATGATTAGCAATCAGAAAAAGATGTATTCTGATTCTCAGTGCATCAAATCTGAAAAACTCTGTTTCTTAAAAAGGAAACTATCACGAAAGTTTAATTTGGCATTTTACACCTTGCACTTTTAAATAATACTTTAAAATTTACATTTATTTTTTTTCCCTCTTTGTTTTTCTTTAGATTGCTGCAAACTCCTGGGGAAAATCTTGGGGAGAAAATGGTTATTTTAGGATTCTACGTGGAAAAAATGAATGTGATATCGAGAAGCTGATTTTAGCTACTTTGGGATAGCCACAGTCTTCTACTCTAATTGTACTGTACCGTAATCTGCTTTATGTATCTATTCTTTCCATCGTTGCATGCTGAGTCTTTCTAGAGAAATAAAAATGTCTGCTCTGTAAGTTACCTTTCTTTCTAATATAGCTTATTAGGGCTTCCTCAGTCGAACACATTGCAGCCATCGCAACACTCCCAAATCTCACCTGGTACAAACACTCCTTTATACTAATAGGAAGTTCTATCCAGGACTACTGAAAACCCCAGTGTCTCATAGAGCAGGAAGTTCCCTCTTCTGTTATTTACAACTCACCCCTGTTTTGTTATATTACTAATGGCTGATTCAGCAGTGCCTGAAATAAATGGAATTACATTATTAGTATTAATCTCTTTACAATGCATACTCTGGTCACAGTTCAGTTTAGAAATATTATTTCCTCTTCCACACAGAATTGGCTCAGTCATCTCATGGTTATACTGGTAAAAAATTCCAAAGGAATGTAAGTAGAGTTCTGATCCTGTTGCAGAATAATTATTTCTCATCCTAGCTTAGATAAGAAAATTAAGAACTTGCTGTCTAACGTTGCCAGCAAAAGAATAATAGCTTTTTCTTCAAGAACGTTTCATGGCAGTGGTATACACCAAATGGCCTTGCCACTGAAACGATGTATCTTAAACTAAACTTGGGTCACAATTTATGTTGCATTAGTACTGAAAGAGCAATTATGAAAGTGTCAGTATCACTGCTGCACGACAAGCTCTTCTGTGGTCTCTAGTGTCATACAATAAACTGAATTTAGACACAAAAACCTTTATCACTTGAAATTTATAGCAAATTTTAACACAAGCAATTTCAGAAGAGTTAAGTGCTCTGAGACAAGTAACTTTTCTAGGTTTAGTGAGCTAAACTAGTACTTGAGAGGAAAGCGTACTGAGCCATCTACACAGCTACTTCCCATCCTCTTGGTATGTGTATTGATTCCATCAAGATTTCAAAAGAGTAGAATTTAGCTCTGAAGTGAATGATACTGTAAAAACATACCCAGTCAACGCTGGGGTTTTTTGTTTCATTCAGCTCCAGCTGACTTGCACTGCTGTAGCTCTTACTTTTGTCGATGGTTGTTGCTACTCCTGATTTACTTGCAAGATCTTTCTAGGATCGGAGCTGTCACATTAAGTTTCCTCAGTGTTGAGAAAGCTCAAAACTACTCTCCTAGATCTTTACATGATCAAATGGCATCTCGTCTTGAAGAAAACACCATACGCAAGTGAAACAAATCTAACCATGCCAAAGCAATTTATTAGTTTGCAAAGTGATACTGCTCTACCCAGCTTTGGTGTTCTTAGTGATGTATGTGCTCAGCACTCTCTTCAGACTCCCTCAGTATCATAAAGCTGCTGTCTGTGGAAATGCCAGAGTACCCAGAATTTAACAGGCAGGGAAATGTATCTCCACCTGGAAGCCAATTTGCTCTTTGAAAACAACCTTGATGCTGAGGCAGCTATTCTGCTTCTATTCAGAGCACAGGTAAAGGGCCTCCTGCCAGTGCCGGTCTTCTCACTCACAGTGATCAAGAGACACTGGGACCTGGGAGCCACCAGTGCCTCTGCTTCACACAGACTACCTGGAGACAGATTTTAAATGTCAGAAGGACTTTGAGCTCTTCTAGTCTACTATTTGGTGGGAGTATGAGGAAACTTGCTCTTCATTAAGACACCACCTCTTTCATTACTCTCCTTTTTTTTTGGCCTCTCCATCACTAATGCTCAGCCATGCCTACTAGCTTGGACTAAAAGTATTATCTAGTGTGGAGCTTTTTCCTGTATGAATAGAAAGCACCAATATGTGGCTCAGGTTAAGTCAATAGAGAGCTCATCAGCTTTAAATCAGTAGTATTACTAATGGTCTGTGGGAGCTGCAGCAAGGGGTGGTACCAGGAAGGAAAGGCAATGCAGGAGTAGCCTTTGTGTTTGTGACATGGTGTAGCTTTCCTTTTCCATAAAAACAGGAAGGTAACATTTTAATGGCAAGCAAGAAAATAAATCCCCACTCAGATTATGCATTACAATATTTCTTGTTAACAATATGCTATATGAAGTTTTGATTAGTCGTCAGTATAACTGTGAGACATTAAAACTGGGTATAGAAATAGCTAGAAGAATATATGTCTTGGGACCTGGTACATGACAGCATTCATAACTAACGGAAAAGTCCCTGTCTAAATTCCTATATATTCAGGAACAGCTTCCGATAGAACTCTGAATAGAAATATCTATGAACTTTGGGAGAGTTTTAATCTTCCCAATATTAACTGAGCAGAACAGGCTCCTTTTACGATTATATTGATCATCCTTCAGGGCCTTCCCACAATCTGATCTTAAATGTTACTGACACTATCTAATAGATGAACACTGTTAATGCCCTTTGAGAAGTCTTTAAGTGGAATTAAAATTTTAAAATTAAAATGGCTAACAAGCTAATAAAAGAACCCAGTTATTTTCCACACTATTGTTACCCTTTTTTCCACCCTATTGTTACAGAAATATTGCCCATCTGCTAAATGATAGCAAATCACACCCTGAAGATTGGCTTCCTATTCCATGCAAAGCGCTATCAAGCCTGGTAATATTCTGAGTGAATCACTTTGTTTGCACAGGGGTGCCTCGCAAGCATTGAATTCCTGAAGGCAATTGCTCTGCTGAGGGGTCTGAGTCACGCACAGACGCCTGAGTCACAGGGAGCTGCCTCTACACCTGGCTCCTGTCAGAGATTTCGGTAGGGCTGAGAGGCACAGAAAACTCCTTTCCCACCTCACTAGCAATCACAACTTGGCAAGATCAGGTTTCTCTAGCTCTGGAGTTTGCTCATCATCATTAGGAAGTCTGGACATTGATGATACTTGCCATAACCAGGATTTTCATTTCATGTTACTATTTCAGAATCATGCCTGATGAAAATGCTTTTACAGAGCCAAACAATAGCATTGAAGTGCGGTATGTGCATAGCCCTGCTAAAATTAATTGAGAAAACAGAAGTGTTTGAACATCTCGCCTAATAAGCGCAATTGCTTGAGAACAAAAATTTGAAGGCAGCCAGGCTGCAAAATGAGGTTGGAGCAGAGGGAAAGGTTTTGCCATTGTAGTATTTGAACACTTCAAATTAGGGGAGAAGTAGGGCATATGGACATCATCCTGAATGCCATCTTCAGAGAACCAAGAAGTTGCTGTGCCAGCCCTGCGTTGTTGCTACCCTGCCTTTAGCTGGGGAATGTAATATGTGGCTTGGATTTTGCCTGCCTGCTGTTTACTGCCTGTGCTTTCCCTTAGGAGGCTGTGGTTAGGCAAAAAAGAAGGTGGTTTTCAGGTGCTTTCTCCTGGATGCCTGAGGTGAACTCCGTCTAGCAGAGCATGCTGAACTTAGGGAGGCTTCTGGGCTTCAAGCTGGCAGCCAGCACTGGCAATGAAAGCCGCACAGCTTTATGCATAGTTTAGTACTACAAATGCTGTGTTATGGGGGAACGCAACCTAAAGCAAGCAGAAAGGGAAATCCAAGGGACATAAAGAACTTGCATCTGGAGCAGGGACTAGACAAGCCCTGAGAGGAGTGACAAGGGGACTGTTTTCCTGTAGTTCCAAGGGTCAAGGAAAGTTACTAGACTGAGAACAAGCCTGAAGAAAAGGAGTTACGCTTATAAGAACCAGAGATAGAGGGAGATTTGCTTGTGAATCTTTTCAGCTTAATGTTTTACTAGAGACGTGACAAGAGCTTGCACGTGGGTACTTAATGCTGCACCTACCATTTGGTAACCATTTCCTACGTGAACAACTGGCTGACATCTTTGCACCCATTCCTCACTGCAAGGATTAAGCCTTTAGCAGGATGGAGACCCTGTCTTTGCCTGAGTTAACAGGAAATTGTGAGTAATATTATTCTGTAACACTCCTATGTCCCTTCAGCCAAGATATACCTGTATCCAATTGTTTGGGTTTTTTTCAGACAGATTCAATGTGGGAACTCCCAGCTGCTGAAATTTTCTTGGTCTTTTACTCCTGGCCCCATGTGTTCAGCAGTCACTCAGAGCCAAGGAGGTTGGCAGATGTCGGTGAGTGAGGGCTGTATAGTGTGAACCTCTGCTTTGTATGGCAGCAACTTTTTGTTAGGGCATATTAAAGCAGAATGAATGCAATGAAAGGAATCAATTTTCGCTTTTCTTTATAACAGCGTAGCTGTCAAATACGCATACTGTATTACTTACATCAGTGAACGTTATTACTTCATCTATAACACTTTATCGCTGTGTCTGGAAATCTTGCAGCATCACGCAAAGCTGTTCCCGGAGAAGGCAGCTGAGGGAGAAGCCTGAGGCAGGAGGTCATACTCTGCTCGCCACTGAAATCCTTGGTGCTTTAAAGTTTTTTGGGGGCACTTGAAGCCACGGACTGCCTCAGGCTGTGTACAAAACAATTTAGGGTTATCTGAAGGTTTCACTCAGCTGTGCCAACAGTGACAGCCACATAAACGCATAGATAGGAACTCATGAATTTAAACCACTGCCTTAATCTAAGTATAACTGCATTTCCATTGCAAAACTCTGAAGACTATCCTCTTTTCTTTTTCTCTGCAGCAAAACCAGCATAAAAGCACTGATTTAGTGCACTACATCTATCAAATCACGACACACAGCACAACATTTTATCAAAGAAAAAATTCTAGAAAAATTATGTGTAAAAGAAAAATATTTAGCCCTAGTGTGCTGTACTGACAGAGTGTGAAGGATCCAGCTGGTGGTCCAAAGTCATTGCCAACATTGCTATTCAATGTAACAGTAATACTGTTCTCATGGAGATGGCATAAATTAGCTTCTGTTCGTCAAGAAACTTGCAAGCAGGGAAACTGGACAATGAAGGCTTTAGAACCTGCATACGTCTTCTTTTTTACTCTACACAAGCAGTTTTTTAAAAGTACTCTATACTCTTAGCTGGCATGATCCACAGCCTGTGGAAAACTATATTAAAAGTGTGTGATCTCAATAGAAGCCAAATTGCTGAAGTTTGTGAAAGACTTGAAATTAGGAGCAAGGCAAAAAGGGTGGAAGAAGAGGAAAGGGTTGAAGTGGTTTA